CTGACCCCCGCCACACTGTAACTGAATGTTACCCCCCTCCCCCCCCCACACTGGAACTGAATGTTACCCCCTGACCCCCGCCACACTGTAACTGAATGTTACCCCCCTCCCCCCCCCACACTGGAACTGAATGTTACCCCCTGACCCCCGCCACACTGTAACTGAATGTTACCCCCCTCCCCCCCCCACACTGGAACTGAATGTTACCCCCTGACCCCCGCCACACTGTAACTGAATGTTACCCCCCTCCCCCCCCCACACTGGAACTGAATGTTACCCCCTGACCCCCGCCACACTGTAACTGAATGTTACCCCCCTCCCCCCCCCACACTGGAACTGAATGTTACCCCCTGACCCCCGCCACACTGTAACTGAATGTTACCCCCCTCCCCCCCCCACACTGGAACTGAATGTTACCCCCTGACCCCCGCCACACTGTAACTGAATGTTACCCCCCTCCCCCCCCCACACTGGAACTGAATGTTACCCCCTGACCCCCGCCACACTGTAACTGAATGTTACCCCCCTCCCCCCCCCACACTGGAACTGAATGTTACCCCCTGACCCCCGCCACACTGTAACTGAATGTTACCCCCCTCCCCCCCCCACACTGGAACTGAATGTTACCCCCTGACCCCCGCCACACTGTAACTGAATGTTACCCCCCTCCCCCCCCCACACTGGAACTGAATGTTACCCCCTGACCCCCGCCACACTGTAACTGAATGTTACCCCCCTCCCCCCCCCACACTGGAACTGAATGTTACCCCCTGACCCCCGCCACACTGTAACTGAATGTTACCCCCCTCCCCCCCCCACACTGGAACTGAATGTTACCCCCTGACCCCCGCCACACTGTAACTGAATGTTACCCCCCTCCCCCCCCCACACTGGAACTGAATGTTACCCCCTGACCCCCGCCACACTGTAACTGAATGTTACCCCCCTCCCCCCCCCACACTGGAACTGAATGTTACCCCCTGACCCCCGCCACACTGTAACTGAATGTTACCCCCCTCCCCCCCCCACACTGGAACTGAATGTTACCCCCTGACCCCCGCCACACTGTAACTGAATGTTACCCCCCTCCCCCCCCCACACTGGAACTGAATGTTACCCCCTGACCCCCGCCACACTGTAACTGAATGTTACCCCCCTCCCCCCCCCACACTGGAACTGAATGTTACCCCCTGACCCCCGCCACACTGTAACTGAATGTTACCCCCCTCCCCCCCCCACACTGGAACTGAATGTTACCCCCTGACCCCCGCCACACTGTAACTGAATGTTACCCCCCTCCCCCCCCCACACTGGAACTGAATGTTACCCCCTGACCCCCGCCACACTGTAACTGAATGTTACCCCCCTCCCCCCCCCACACTGGAACTGAATGTTACCCCCTGACCCCCGCCACACTGTAACTGAATGTTACCCCCCTCCCCCCCCCACACTGGAACTGAATGTTACCCCCTGACCCCCGCCACACTGTAACTGAATGTTACCCCCCTCCCCCCCCCACACTGGAACTGAATGTTACCCCCTGACCCCCGCCACACTGTAACTGAATGCTACCCCCTGACCCCCACCACACTGTAACTGAATATTACCCCCTGACCCCCACCACTCTGTAACTGAATGTTACCCCCTGACCCCCACCACACTGTAACTCAATGCTAACCCCTGACCCCCACCACACTGGTACTGAATGCTAACCCCTGACCCCCACCACACTGTAACTGAATGCTAACCCCTGACCCCCACCACACTGGTGCTGAATGTTACCCCCTGGCTCCTCACCATACTGGTACTTGGTATTTCTAATTAGCTGAGATCATCTCTTCTTCTGGAAAACATATAACTTTTGAGTCTATTTCAATATTATAAAAAAAGCAGAAGACTGGTTTTAGCATAAAAATTGGCCATATTTAACAAATGTTAAAAATCTTCAGTTACTCATAATTATCAAGGTAAGGTGGTTGCTTTAGAGGCAAGTCTTTTATAAGAAGGTGTGTGTGTGTGTGTGTGTCTGTGTCTGTCTGTCTGTCTGTCTGTCTGTATCTGTGTCTAAAATCTTGCAGAAATCCAAGGGGAGGAGCCTAAGGCGGCTAAGCTTCACAGGAATTGAGCTGGGACATGGAAAGACATCAGCAACCGAAGCTGTTGATTAGTAGCCTCAGGTGAGTGGGCACTGTCTCTGCTGATATCTACACTTGTCCTCTGTACTTTCCTACCTTCTCCCTGCCAACTATGACACCTTCTAGACCTGGAACATTAATGTTCATTTCTCCAGATCTCTTAGACATTTTTTAAAAAGTGCTGGGGATTGAAATCAGGGCCTTCTGCATGTGGGACAAACACTCTACCACTGAGCTACATTGCTAGCCCTTTCCAGATCTCTTAATGCCAAATCCCTATTACCTTTTCCACTCAGTTAGGCCACAAAAGTCAAAGGCTATTTTATTGTTCAGCCTGCCGACTGGTGGTCACTAGCCCAGGTACACACTCCCTGGTTCAGATGGGTGTGGCTGTGGAGGAGAGTCACCACATGCTCTTTCTTAGCATAGCAGTGTACATACACATAGAGTGTGGGCAGACAGGCACCTCTGCCCTTGTGACTTCATAGTCCTCATATTTTCATGAATACACAACATGATACCAAGTGGTTGTCTTTGCTGTTTCCCAGCTGTCTTGGTTTCACTTTTTTCCATTCGTAGGCTGCTACAAGTAAAACTATGATGACCGTCTCTGCACATACATCACCCTTTTCACCTAGATTATGTGAAACATCTTTACAATTACATAGAGATCACATTCTCTGAACACCTACAGGACACAACTTGCAGTACTTTTGTTTTAAAAGTGCCTATATTTGCCAGAGATACATACTTAGGTAGCTCTGGGCAAAGTGATGGGATATGATATCAGAGATTTGTTTTAAAAACACTCCAGGAGGGCGCTGGAGAGATGGCTCAGCGGTTAAGAACACTGGTTGTTCTTACAAAAGACCCCAGCACCCACACGGCAGCTAACAACTGTCTGTAACTCCAGTCCGACAGCCTCTTCTGACCGCCGCGTCACCGCATGACACGGGTACACTTACCTACATGCAGGCAATATACCCATACACATAAAATAAAAATAATAAATAATATTTTTTAAGTTAAAAAAAAATACTCCAGGAAAAAACACTGGTGTGTGGTGATGAAAGCTGGTGTGAGACTGGTGATGTGTGCAGGATCTGTTACGTAATATTGTTTTCGTTTTGCTGTTTATCTCCCAGTCTCCTTTTCTCTGTTCTAGCTTTTTGTGTTTCCTACGTACTTAGTACCCTTGTGCTGCCTTGGGGAGTCCCAGATTCAGTTTACTTTGGTTGCCTGTAGCAAAGTTTCCTTTTGCTTCTCTGAAAAACTCAAGTTCATCCATCTAGCCACCCATTCAGTAATTCATGTACGTAAAATAATTGAGCCTCTGTGTTGGGCAAGACACAAAAAAGGTCACTTTGTTTTAGATGTTACTAGAGAACTGTTAAGAGGAAGAAATCACAACTTATTTTTAAATGTTTGTTTTTAACCTTTTAAATTTAGTGTGTGTGTGTGTGTGTGTGTGTGTGTGTGTGTGAGAGAGAGAGAGAGAGAGAGAGAGAGAGAGAGAGAGAGAGACGAGATAACAGTTGGAAGCTTAGCATTCCGAGGAATCATCATATTGTAGAAGAGCAGCCAAGAGCCCTCTGGTAGGGTGGACAGTGTGGGAACACACAGGGAACAGCAGGCAGAGCTGGGGAAGATGCTTAACCACCTACATCCTCCCTATCTTTCTGCCCTGTAGCTTTTAGCCTTTTTGAACTGTTAATTGGAATTCACATTTTGAGTTTATTTTACTTTAATTACAAAAAATTGTATAAATTAAGATCCTCAGCATTTTTGTGGTCTTTCATATAAAGCACTAAAGAGTCTCAAATGTAGCCAGGTGTGATGGTACACACCTGCAATCTCAGCCCTCAGAAGCTGAGGTGGAGGATATCAAGGGCAGCCTGGGCTACATAGAGAGATCTTGTCTCAAAACAAAAGGGGGGGGGATGCTTAAATACTGGAGGAAATCAACATTTTATATTCATGTTTTTAAAAAAGTAAAATTATAGTCAAATGTTTTATTTTTCTCCTCATTTCCCAAAACATTAGTAGACCATGAAATTTCTGTGAACTAAGTGAACTTGCTGGTAATGATTCTGAGGTCATTTGGTTTTAAAAGTCACAAGGCCAGAAAACAAACACAAGGTGATTCCTGCCTCCCTAGCAGAGCAGGGGTGTGGGGAGGCCGCACAGGATTATAGACTGTCTGACCTCCCTGAGTTGCAGGGAGTGGGAAGTTCTCAGATTTCCCATGGAGTCCTTGCATTACTCTACCTTGTCTCCCTCCCTGGACTTTAGCTTCTATAGGGCTCAGGGATTCTGGAATTTTCAATGACTAGAATGCAGTTGGACCTCAGTAAACACAACTGAATGAAAAAACAAACTTTTCAGTCATTTTTAAAAATCCCCTCATCTGCTGGGCATGTAGGCATACTTCTTTAATCCCAGTACTTAAGAGGCAGAGGCAAGGAGATCTCTTTGAGATTGAGGCCAGCCTGATCTACATAGTGAATTCCAGGCCAGCTGGGGCTACGGGGAAACCCTGTCTCAAAATAAATCCCCTTATCTTCTTCCTCAAATTCTCTTCTTTGCACAGACCCTCCTAGGATGGTCTTTCTTCAGCACTATTCTAAGACTTCCCATGAGAAAGCCAAAGCTTCAAGGAAACTTCTAGACAGAAACCAAAAGCCCCCAAAATATTACCCCTGTTATAGAACGAGACACTGGAGCCAAGTGACCAGAATCCGACTTTGTCACCAGCTTTCTCCTCACTTTAAACCGTTCAAAGCTGTTTTTCTCAATATAGCTGCTGAAGGGTTTCCGACCATCTGCTCATAATGAAACTCCCACAATAAGCCCAACTCCAGAATCCACTGTGAGCACAACTGATCAGCAACACATTTATTATTGGGCTAGGAGGGTAATAGCGTGGGGTCTGGCTGGGTTTGGGCCAGCTGTCTGTGAGTTCCTTCTATTGGCTTCTGCAGCCAAACTCCCCTCTGGTGCATGCAGTGGTGGCCACAGTGGCTTGGTTTGTCTTTATGAAGGACAGAACCAGGGAATGCAAAGCAAAAGAAGCAGCCTGGAGAGGGTGCAGCTCTCTCTAGAGTTTCCTTACAAGAAGTCTGGGCAATTCACTTGATCTGAGGTTGTCATTTTCTCAATGCTGATGTCATTAGAAGTCAGGATATCTTTCAGGTAGGTCACTGTTTCTGGAGGGAGATAAGGGTTTCTTCCCAGTATCCAAACATGATCCACATGAAAGAGCCAGATGATGGTGGTACAGGAATATACCAGGGCGTAATTCTCATAGTCAGTGGCCAGGATCCAGTATGGTGTGGGTGGCATCACTAAGAAACAGAGACAGCAACATGAAGAAGGACTGGGACAAGGGAAGCTACATCTCTAGGACTCTAGGGACCAAATCTCCAAGTTGGTGATTCTTAACTAGCTTCAGGCGGGAATCCCACGGGAGGTGTGAAAGCTACTAGGTCCACCTTCCATCGCCCTTCTCCAGCTTCAGTTCTGTGTGTGAGTGTGTGTGTGAGAGTGGGGCACACAGTACCCATAGAGGGCAGAAGACAACTTTTGTGGAGTTGGTTCCCTCTTCCAAGGTTTGCATGAGTTCTGGGGGGTCAAACTCAAGTCCTCAGGCTTGTGTGGCAAGCACCTTATCCATTGAGCAATCTCACTGACCCATTTTTATTCTAGAGACAGTCTTGCTTTATAATTGAGGTTGACCTATAACTCATGATCCTCCTCCCTCAGGCTCGTTAGCTTTGGGATTATAGCTATGCACCACTATGCCTGGTGATGGGTGTTATTTAAAAAAAAAATAAGAAACTTCCCAGTGATTCTAGTGTGTGTCGTGAACCTTATTGTGCCTTCCTCCCTGATAGTAGTGTGAAGTCATCTGGGATGATTAGGGGTTCAGGTGGGCTCCTTGAGCTGCACTAACACCAATGTGTATGGAGGAAACATTTAGCTAAGGAACAAGAGTGCATGAGTGTGAACCACTCCGCTTCCTGGAAAATCTGCTTGAGTGAAGAAGCAGAGACTGATGAAAGTTGTTTTTCCTTCCTGTGCGATTTTGGCAAATCCTTCTACTCTTAAGAATGCAGTGAGGTGGTTGGTCACAGGTTATAACCATTTTCCTACCAAAGCGCTCATAAAGGTTTTTTGATTGACACATGTAAAGTGTAAGAAGCCCAAGTTTAAAGAGGTTCTTAAAAGGAAAGATGGAGTATTCATCCTCTTTGGCTCGATATAGAAACTTCCTCTGTGAACTTGACCTCCACACTAGGCTCCTAGGTTTCAAATGTCCAGCCAGTTACCATGAAAACACAGGCCCAGAGGCCCAGCCATTGACATTTTTCCTACCTTAGTGTTTCTGTTTACAAATGTGGCAAGAGAAGATGCTTAGAAGAAGCTGGACAGTGAGACCTGGCAGACTATTGTCTGTAACTTACCTTTTAACACTGTTTCTCTCTCTGTCTCTCTTTCTCTGTCTCTATCTCTCTGTGTCTCTGTCTCTGTTTCTCTGTCTCTCTGCCTCACTCTCTTACACACACACACACACACACACACACACACACACACAGTGGTGGGGTGACTATCATCAATCCACTGTCTGTGACGCTCAGCTTCTCTGAGTATTCCATCTGGACTGAGAATGCTTCATCATGGCTTGAGTTTCAGAAAAACACACCTCCACCTCTTGCAGCAGCAGAAGTGTGTCTCAAACACACCCCAGGCATACTGTCTGCCCCCCGTCATGGGGTCTAGTTTTCAAGAATAAATTTACTCAGCAGTTCCTCTTAATGCAGAAAACATCCACATCTTTCTTTATTAGAAAATGATGCTGGTCTCCTATTGCTTATGGACACCTCAGTGCAAACTTGCTAACATTGGGGGGGGGGTGCTTAATCCTGTACCCTCCCCAGCTCTAGGCTTATTTATCTAGGCATCTCCTATGCTATTCTCTCTACTTGGAACATCCATCCTTTCCCATAAGCTCCCATATACCCTAGAGTGCCAAACACAACCACTGAAGCCCCCCATTCCAAATAAATCTCTTTCTCTTCATCTTCTGCAGCAAACAGCTCCTGCCTCTCTTTTAGCTCTCGTCCCAGAGTTCCTTATGTGGCCTGCGTATATGATATTTAACCTTTATGCCCATCCTCATCTCTTTCCCATCCATGTTATGAGAAAAACTTTCACATGAGGGTTTGTAGACTCAGGGTCACGTCTAGCTTTACCTCTAATTAGCTCAGTGCTTACCCACATTGTCCTGCAATTCAACTTCCTTGTTTGCAAAAATGACCAGAGAAACAAACATGCATGCGCAAAGCCCCTGACAGAGCACGTCTAGTTTATCTTCACAGTGCTGGATAGCTGCCCCTAGTTCGTGTGGGTCATTTGTGTGGGTCATTTGTGTGGGAAGAGCTGTTTTAGCTCCCAGCATTCCTTTCTTGGTTTGTAAATAAAAACTACCTCTCTGCCTTACTCTAAAGACTTGACTGGTGTGTATGTGAGAGGAGGGTGGCAGTGTGGGGTTTGGGTGGTGCTGACTCTTGCAGCTGGTGTCAGTGTATGCCCTGTGGGAAGGAAGAGGGATTTCCAAGCACTTTGAGCATGAGGAAACCTCACAGGTTTGAGCTGAGCTGAATTCACTAGTGTATCTACATACAGTAGCAGAAAAACTAACATCTGCTACTTTCTTTTGGTTTTTTTTTTTTCTTTTCTTTTTGTCTTTTTGGACTTTTTGAGACAGGGTCTCCCTGTAGCCCCAGCTGTCCTGGAACTCACTATGTAGACCAGGCTGGCCTTGGACTCACAGAAATCTACCTGCCTCTGCAGGTCACCATACCCGACACATCGGCTACTTTCTAAGCTACCTGTGTCCATTCCCTGGTTAGCTCGGCACTGAGAGGGGAGATGCTGGGATTCATAACCCTCAGAGTCCCAGCAAGGTGACTGGAGGTGGCAAACCAGGCCTCACGCTCTCCTTTACTGTTGTCAATTATTTATTTTTATTATGCGTATGAGTGTTCTGCCTGCACGTATGTAAGTGCACTTGTGTTGTACAATGCCTGTGAAGGCCAGAAGATGGTGTCAGATCCCCTGGAACTGGAGTTACAGATGGCTGTCAGTCACCATGTGGGTGCTGAGAACCAAACCTATGTCCTCTGGAAGAGCAGCCACTGCTCTTAACCACTGAACCATCTCTCCAACCCCTTTCTCATCATCTTTTGCCTCAGCTTTTGCACATGCCAATTGTTCTGCTAACATCAACTAATCTAGGGGCCTCCATTTCCCTGAGAAATCAGATTGTATTAGGTCTCCTGTTCATGCCATTAGATGCTTCTCTGTGAGCGTCACCTGCAGAAACACTGCAGAGTCTCCTGGCTCCTCATCAGTATCTACATGGGATGTCTGACCAGCTCAGTGTTACCTGTCACTGCATCCCACATGCATTCCAGTGCCTAGCCTAGGGCATGGTGCACAGTAGGTACTCAAAAAGTGATCATGTATTGATTCGAACCCCAATGATGGCACTCAGACATGATAGAAACACTCAAGCACCCGGCTCTAGCCTCCCATTTGCATATCTCCTCTCCCTGAAGCTTCCTGAGAGCAGTGGTACTTACACTGAAAAAACTTTACTCCTAGCTTGGCGGGCTCAGAGACGTTGCTTTGCATGGCTTCAACTTCAATTTGATTCACAGTTCCATCAGGTCTGCAGTGAGAAGGGTGGGAGGAGGGAGAAGGAAAGGGGGAAAAAGACGGCTAATTGGAGACTGAAAATCAATGAAAGGCAAGATTTGTGCCCTAAGGACCATGGTGGCCAGTGTGGTGTGGTGATCTCTGGCCAGACCTGGTTCCAGTCCCTGACATTTCCTGTGACTGTTTGAGACTCAGTGAGGAAGACAGCCCCCCTCCGAAAAGTCACTACTATGGAAATGCTCCAGGACTGGATTATATGTTAGGCCTTTGCACTACAACACTGTGTTCCTGATTATCTACCATTTGCCTTTCAGGCACTTCCTGCTCCTAGGCTCCAGAGAGAGGGAATGAAAGAGAAGGGGAAAATAAACCAAACAACCCTCAAACAAAGAAGAGCCATTTCTTTAGAGAGGAACAAAGAAATGAGGAGAAACTTGATCACTGAGTAACATAAAGCAGCACCCACACCCCACAGCCCCCACTCCTGCATGTGTCTCAGTGATGTCTATCAGAGCTCTGAACCCCCTCTAGCTCAGCTAGCATCCAAGTGAGTATGGGAGATTTTGAAGTAGGAAAGGTTGGCAAAGAGTTAATGAGGACACAGTGACCTCACCTGTGTGCCTGAGATGAGCCCAGATCTCACAGATGTAATTGTGAAGAAACATACATCTTATAATTGATATATCTGACATTTATCATTGGCAAAGCCAGTCCTTCCTAATGGTATATAAAATGGTATCAGAACTTAAGTGTGATGATATTGCCACAAAGGAGGTACTCAGACCCTTCTGAAAAGACTAACTCCCATTGACCCTATGAACCCAGAGGAGGGGAGAAAGCCTTGGAGAAAGGGGACAGGGAAGGGACGTGTCTAGGCATCAGAGTATTTCTGGGGAGGTAGCCTGTCCATCAATCCTCAAGCAGGGCAAACAGACTGAAAGGAGAGCAATCATGTGTGTGATTACACACAGTAGGTTATAGCTGAGAGAATGCTCTAAAAACCAGACCCCAAGCAAGCTAAGGGAAGCTGGGTTGTGTTGTCTGTTCCATGTAGGGCTGGAGACCATGCTCTGTTAGCTCACCTAGAACACAGACAGCTGTGGAAAATGATCTGTTCCCTTCTGCAAATGGTAGGTTAGCAACAAACCAGGCTCTTCTATTCACTATCACTTGTGTTTTGCTCCAGAATAGTTTTAAATTTTTTTTATTTATTATTTTTATTTTATGTCTATGAGTGTATTGCTTGCATGCAAGTAAGTGCGCCCATATTGGGCAATGCCTTTGGAGATCACAAGAGAGTGTCAGATTCCCCTGGAAGTAGAGTTACAGATGGTTGTTAGCCACCATGTGGGTGCTGGGAACTGAACTTGAGTCCTCTGCAAGAGCAGCCAGCACTCTTAACTGCTGAGCCGTCTCTCCAGTTTAACTCCAGAATAATTTTTAAAACATTAGTCTCATCATAAATCCACAATTTGTTCCTGGGAAAATGCATTTGTATTTTCTTTTTAAGTTTTTTTATTACATTGATTGATTGACTGATTGATTGACTGATTGTGTGTGTGTGTGCGTGTTCCATGACATGTGTGTGGAGGACAGAAGACAACTTGTGGGAGTTGGTTCCACCATGTGAATCTGCTTGGTAGCAGGTGCCTTTATTTGCTAAGTCATCTTCCAGGCTCACATTTGTGGTTTCAAGGGTAGCAACAGCTTAACTATAAAAAGGTCATTGTAGTCCCAGCGCTTGGGAGGCAGAGGCAGGCGGATCTCTGTGAGTTCAAGGCCAGCCTGGTCTACATAGTGAGTTCCAGGACAGCTGGGGCCATAGGGAGACCCTTTTCACCAAAAAAAAAAAAAAAAAAAAAAAGGTCATGTTGTCATGTTTATTAAATGATTACTACATGCCAAACTCTGTTCTAAGAGCCTTCTGAGTCTTACCTTGTTTAATGCTTAAACAGTCTCAGGGAGGTTGCTTCTATTATTATGGTCTACATAATGATCCTTGCTAATATAAGATTGTATACTAAGAGGCAGACTCCTGATTTAAGACCAGACAGCCAAACGCCAAAGCCTGAGCCCTTTGATCTTCCGAGTCAACTATTTTGGGCCCTCAAATTCTCAAACACTGGCTGAGAATTCCTTTATCCCAACTCCCTCCATTTAAGGGATTACATGGGTTTGAGATCTGTGTCATAGACTCTTAGTCTTAAAATGAGACAAAATATTTCACTGAAATGAGGTCATTCCAACTCTGTTGCCTGCTATGGTTTGGCTAAATGTCCCCCAAAGGACACGTTAAAGGCTTGGTCTCCAGGGTGGTGCTTAGGAGGTGGAAGAACTGGGAGATGACGCTGAGAGAAGGTCAATGGGGTTGTGCCTTCAAAGAGACTAGTCTCTTCCTGTTTCTTTTTCCTGCCTCCTGAGGTTAATTGTTTTTTTCTACCCCATGCTCCACCATGATGCACCACCTCACCAGAGCCTCAAAGAATGGGGTCACTTGATTCCAGCAAGAAACCTCCAGAACCGTGAGCTCAAATCAACCTTTTCTCTTTATCCTAAGGGCCTCAGGAATTTCACTATGACGAGGGACAGGTGACTAATGCAGGGCCTGTATAATTCCTGGGAGATCCCTGGCAAGGACATCTCAATGGCTGCAGCCTTTCCTGCAGCCTTCTCCTGGGACTCTGAAAGAAGCCGGAGTTTTCTCAGAGGCCCTCAAGCTCCCTTCTTTGCTTCTCTGACTTGTTCAGGGCAGGAGTCAGCTGGCTGCACTCTGGCTCATATGGGGTTAGTGGATGATGTCATGGCCACAGAGAACCTCTGTGAGCCTAGCAACTTCTGGGCTGGTATAGATGTTTTCTTGGAGTTGAACACAGTTCTCAGGTCCTGTAGAGAACAGGAAGAGCAGCCCTTCCTTCCAGCCTTGTTTTTACCTGTTTCTGCTCTCTTCCTCCTTCCACTTCTCCTGAGTTCAAGGCTTGATCACCTATCATTGGTGCGATCCTATGGCAAGTTACTTTATCTCTCTGTACCTAAGTTTTCTCACCCATGAAAATGAGGTCAATAATATAATAATTTCTCACCCACAAATGAATCTATGGTAGTATTAACTTCAGCTATGTTGTGGAGATTTATATATATATTATATATATGTTATATTATATATATATATAATATATATATATATATACGCAGAGAGGGAGAGAGAGAAAAAGAGAGAGAGAGTCTTGAATATAGTAAACACCTAAATGTGTGTTAAATATGTTTGCTGGTGCTGTGATCTTTGGTAAGGGAAGGTAAGCAGGAAGGACCTCATCCTGGGTCTCTTCATGTTTATTTTCCAAAGTGTAAATTTTTGGAATTCAATGTTCAATACCCTCAATGACAGAAGTGTATACTTCTAAAAGATACCCTGTTAACATAAGCTAGAGAGTACATATATAGGTATAGTATCTGATGCTTGCTTAATAAGAAAAAGAGGTTTCTGAGGCTGGAGATATACCTTAGTTGGTAGAGTGCTTGCTTTGCATGCAGAAAGCTCTGAGTTCAGTCATTAATATTGCATAAAGGAGGCTTGGTAGTCCACCCTTGTAATCCTAGAACTCAGGAGGTAGAGGCAGGAGGATCAGAAATTTAAGGGTATCCTTGACTACACAGTATTTAAAGGCCAGCCTGAGTTACATAAGACCCTATATCAAAAGAGAAGAGGAGAGAAAAGAAACAAGAAGAGAAGGAAAAGGAAGGGCTGGAGAGATGGCTTAATGGTTAAGAGCACTTGCTGTTCCAGAGAGCTGGAGCTGGGTTCCTAGCACCCACATCAGGTGGCTCACAACTGCCTGACTCCAGCATCAGAGGATCTCTTGCCCTCCTCCAGACTCCATAAGCATCTGCACTCACTCGTACTACCTCCCCTTGCCAGCATAGACACATTAAAAAAATCTCTGTCAGGCATGGTGGCCTTTAATCTCAGCACGCAAGAGGCAGATGCAGGTGGGTCTCTGTGAAATCAAGGCCAACCTGGTCTGCATAGTGAGTTCCAGGCCAGCCAGGACTACAAAAAGATATGACTCAAAAATAAATAAATAAATAAATAAATAAATAAATAAATAAATAAATAAATAAACAACAACAAAAACATCTAAAACAAATTCGAAAGAAAGAAAAGTAAGTTCCTGCCCAGGAAATCTGACTGAAGGTGGGATGAATTGTGGGGGGTTGGGGGGAAGGGGGTGGATGAGATCCCAGTGTGTGAAAATATTCAGGCAAACTGGATGGCCTCTGCAAGTTTACGGACAGAAAGGGCTTCTTTCTTGGTTTGGAGGTCAGGCAAGGTGACCTGATGTTCTTTGATACCAGAGTCTGTTTTGCAATGCAAGCAGGGGTACTGACACTTTGGGCCACTGTTGATTCCCCAGTGTCTCTCTCAGTATCTAGCATTCAGTAGGTGCCTGGCAATGATTAAGGGAACGAATGCCCTCCAGTTCTGATCCTCCTGCCTGGCCTGAGCAATCTGCACCTCTTCACAGCCCCAGCCTATATGAACACCAAGCATGGTCACACAGGCAGGCCTGTGCAGTCACTCACCTCATCTCCTGATTTAGTACTTTGATGTTTCCGTTTTCCATCAGTGAGTAGTTGGCTTGATTGCAGACTCCTTTCTCAAAACTCACTGGGCTCTTCTCAATTTCATACCATCTTCCAAGATACTGCAAAGATAACAAGCAGAGCAAAACCCAGGGACTCTCGGGGGACCGAGGACGCTTTCTCATTGTTGTCTTTCAGCAAAGAGCCCTTTCCTGGGGGAAACCAGGCAAAATGAGCTGCATTGTCCATGGCCAACTGAGCAAGTGACTGATTCACAAGAGAGTAAGTGAATCAGATGTGTGGCACTGGTTGAAGGCTACATTCTATTCCTAAAGGGCTTCTTATTTAGACATGTTCTCAGTAGCCTCTTCAGCCAAACCGGTGTGAAATTCTAACCTCTGTGAAAGGAAGGGATTGTCTAGATAATGGAAAGTACCTTTCACTTCCAGCATTTGATGATTCTACAAAGCATCTTTCAATTTTGTGTAACTCAGACATGTTGGCAGTGGAGTGCTAGGGCTCAGAGTTGATTTAGTGTCCTTGTGTGACCCTGCACAGAAAGTTGGTCATAAAGGACTTAGAAGATCTGTGTCACCCTTCTGCTACGCGCTTGCTTAGTTTGTAACTTTGGGTGTTTCATGTCAACTTTAAGGAAGGGCCATGGTACACAAAGGAAAGTACACTCTTTCTCAGAGCAGTCTCATGTTGCTATAGCCACATGCAGAGATTGTACCAATTCACAAGCTCTGAGGAGGCCAGTTTGGTAATGCTGAACAAAACTAAAAAGTACATTTGTCTTTAGCCCAGTAAGTTCACTTCTAGGAATGCATCTCCTGCTATAAAAATGATGCATGTGTGCATATAAAGTTATTTTTAACAATAAACAGTCTAGTGAGCATTAGCAGGGGCTGGGGAAATAAGTGATGGAGCATCATCCAATGGAATTTTATGCATCATCTTTAAGAGAGTGATACACAATTGTCTCTAAGATATATCTAAAGGATAAAGAGCTAAGAGCCAGGTTTGAAATGGTGTATATCTTATGCTACCTTTTGTGTATCAACAGGGGAAAGTTTATTGTATTGGATTTCTATTGCTGCTGTAATAAATTGCAAGCCTAAACTGCACAGATTTATTATTCTGCGGATGTATAAACCAGAGTCAGATCCTACTCTTACTAGGTTAAAACTGAGATGTGAGTTCCCTTCCTTCCTGAGGCTCTGAGGAAGAGTCAGCTTCCTTCCCTAGGTCACCCAGTTTCCTGGACTTGGGACCCCTCCATTTTCAAGGTCAGCAAACATCATACTGCATCTCCCGATTTTCCTGCCTTCATCAAAGCTCTCTCTCTCTCTCTAACTACAGCTAGCAAGGTGTCTCTGCTTTAAAGAATTTGTGATTAGACTTGGTCCACCTACCTGGACAATCAAGCTAATCTGGCCACCTTAGGTCCACCAGTTATCTATATACATCCCCCTTTCCATGTAAAGTAACATGTTCACAGGTTAGGCAATATGCCACAAGCATCTTGGGAAGCTATTATTCTGACTACACAGTCATATACATATTTGTTTGCATATGTGTACATTGTCTAAAAAAGATACTTAATACATTGTTTTTACTAGTTGCTCCTGGGAGACCAAACTGAGGTACAAAGGAGACTAAGGGAAACTTTTCTTTTTTAAAATTAACTTATTTATATTCTAAACTTTTATTTTATTTTAACTTTTTAAAAAATTTTATTTATTTATTTTTTCATTTTACATGTGTGCATTTATTGCCTGCATGTAGGTAAGTGCACCCATGTCGTGCAATGCCTGCAGAGGTCAGAAGAGGCTGTTGGATCCCCTGGGACTGGAGTTATGGATAGTTGTTAGCTGCCATGTGGGTGCTGGGATTCGAACCCTGGTGTTCTGCAAGAACAACCAGTGTTCTTAACCACTGAGCCATCTCTCCAGCCCCTAAATTTTTATTTTATTTATTTTATTATTTTATGTGTATGAATGTATTGCCTGCATGTATGTAAGTGCACCTATGTCATGCAATGCCTGAGGAGGTCAGAAGAGGGTGTCAGAGTCCCCTGGAACTGGGGTTACAGATGCTTGTTAGCCACAATGTGGATGCTGGGAATGGAACCTGGGTCCTCTGCAAAAGCAGTCAGTGCTGTTAACCACTGGGCTATCTGTCCAGTCCCCTAACTTATTTATTTTTATTTAATGTGTATGAGTGTTATGCCTGCCTGTTGTGCAATGCCCTCAGAGGCCAGAAGGGCATCAGAGGAACTAGAGTACTAGAGTTACAGACAATTGTTCACTGTCACATGAGTGCTGGGAATTGAACCAGGTCCTCTGCAAGAGCAGCCAGTGTTCTTAACCTCCAGTCCCAGGGGGAACTTTTCATTGTATGCTCTACTGTACATTTAGTTTTTTGGTTTTTCTCTGTTGTTCCCCCTACCCCTACTCCATGGTGCTAGGGACACAATAAAGACCTCATACTAGGCATATGCTCTACCACTGAGCTATGCACCCAGCTTCTTTTGCACCTTTAGAATTTTGAACTACTTGAATACATTTGCTTAGTCAAAATAGTAAATAAAATCATTTTATAAATTTAAAAATATATGACTTAACAAACAAAGGATGTATGTACCTTCAAAACGTCAGAAACCGTACTGCCTCAATTACACATTTCCCACTCATTTAGTAAAACACAACTATTGATTAAAACCACTGAATCTTGGCATAGGCTTGTAAGCTCAGTACTTGAAAGGTAGAAGCAGGAGGATCAGGAGTTCATGGTCAGCATCAGAGATATAGAGAGTTCAAGGCCAGCCTAGGCTACATGATACTCTGTCTCAAAAAAACAAAACAAAAAAAACCCCACTGAACTTAACATTCATTTAAAACACCAAAGAACAAGGCCAACTGTCTTCATAAACATCCTCAGAAAAAGCTCCTTTTAATAGTTTAGTTAACATAGCTCTTTCCAGTTCAAGTGATTCTAGTCATCCGTAAGAGCAAGGAAATCGGGTGAGAGATTGTGGGCCATGTTCTGCTCCCTTATGATCCCATGTGACTTCTGTAAGTTCTCTTAATTATTGCAGTTTCTCTATCTAAAGAAAAATCAATGTTTAAAAAAAAAACAACGGAAAAGAAGTAAAGCTATCTTCGCTTGAAGGTGTCATATTTATGTGAAGAAGTCCTAAGGAATTGTTTTTGAGTGACTTTGAACTTCTGATCCTCTTGCTAGGATTAGAGATGTTCCACTACCATGCTCAGTTTATCTGGTGCTGAGAATCAAACGCAGGGCTTTATGCACTCTACTGACTAAGCTGTATCTCCAGCTCCCATAAGGAATATTTAAAAAACAAAATTTTTTTTAATGTGTATGAGTGCATGTATATAAGTGTGCCCATGTCTGTGCAATGCCCACAGAGGTCAGATGAGGGTGTTGGATACCCCAGGAACTGGAGTTACAGATGGTTGTTGCCACCTTGTGGGTTCTGGGAATCGAACCCAGGTCCTCTGCAAAACCAGCCTGCACTTTTTTTTAAGCTGTCTAAATGTTTTTATTGGGACTCACTTTTCTGATTTGTTATTTATTACCACACTGGCAAGCCTGGTTTACAGGAAGTATACATATTTTCGTAAAACAATTGAGTTCAACCCACATTTGGTTGTGTTAATAGTTGTTTCCAAAAATTGCAGCTGGTTTGCCTTTTCCTAATTCATCTCTAAGTTGAGGACCATGTTGGATGGTCAGAGCACAGACTTGATTGTGTGTAATTATTGTATAAATATTTTAATGGCATATAAAATAAGTACATTCTTTGTATTTTGAAACAAAAATGATCACATACTGCCTTTCACATTTTTGCTGCCTGTGGCACCCTTTTTAAAAAAGATTCTTGTGGGCCTGGAGAGATGGCTCAGCAGTTAAGAGCACTGACTGCTCTTGAAGAGGACCCAGGTTCAATTCCCAGCACCCACACGGCGGCTACGAACCGTCCTTAACTCCAGTTCCAGGAAAATCCGAAGCCCTCTTCTGACCTCCGTGGCATTGCACGACGTGGGTGCACTCACATACATGCAGGTAGTACACTCATACACATAAAAAAAGACTGTCACATACTAAAGTAGTGTACATATATACAAACATTACCTCCTTTGTTGTACAGTTGTAATAGACCAGACTGAAGATTTTATTTTTTTGTGTGCTTTTTAGAGAAAATTAATAAAGAAAATCTTGCTTATGTGATTACAATGTATTTGTGTAACTTATTTACTTTTAAATGTTCTTCTGCATCTTAACACTGTTGCAGTACACGCCTTTAACCCCAGCACTCGGAAGGTAGAGGCAGGCAGATTCTCTGTAAGTTCAAGGCCAGCCTGGTCTGCATAGTGAGCTCCAAGCCAGCTGGGGCTACTGGAGGACCTGTCTCAAAAGGACCAAAATAATAATAATAATAATAATAAATAATCAAATTCATTTGCATTTCTTCTATGGTTGGATGGAACCATGGTTCAATACTTTTTCCCCTATGATGTTTCATGTTATAAACTGCATAGGTGAAAAATGTACATTAAGTAATTTTACATACCTGTACAACCATATTTAGCCTATATATTGCTCAAGTAAAGTTTAAATCAGTCACTTTTTACTGTGAGTTTCTGGCACAACTTTCCTGGGTGCAATACTGTGATTCTCAGTTCTCTCCCTGGATCTCTCTATGGCTTGGCTTAGCACTGTGTGATGGAAGGGTGGATGGGAATCTTTGGACTCTGCAGAATCTTCAGTATTCCCCAATAACAGCCAGTAACCACTGAGGCATCTCTCCAGCCCCTCCCCTAAGGAATCCTTAAAAAAAAAAAAACAACACTATTGAAATAATGAGTTTGGCAAAGTTGAAAGAGATGTAAGATCAGTCAATATATGAGGGGCTGGAGAGAGGATTCAGTAATTAAGAGCACTTTGCTGCTCTTATAGAAGAATTGAGTTCAGTTTCCAGCACTCATATTAGACAACTTAACCCACCTGTACCTCCAGCTCCAGGGGGATTTGATGTCTTTGGCCTCTATGGGCACCTGAACTCATGTGTACATATACACACACACACACACACATT